CATTACATAGGTTACAGGTACAGCTACATCACCTGTATGTATCATTACATAGGTTACAGGTACATCTACATCACCTGTATGTATCATTACAAAGGTTACAGGTACATCTACATCACCTGTATGTATCATTACATAGGTTACAGGTACATCTACATCACCTGTATGTATCATTACATAGGTTAGAGGTACAGCTACATCACCTGTATGTATCATTACAAAGGTTACAGGTACATCTACATCACCTGTATGTATCATTACATAGGTTAGAGGTACAGCTACATCACTTGTATGTATCATTACAAAGGTTACAGGTACAGCTACATCACCTGTATGTATCATTACAACAGTTACAGGTTCATCTACATCACCTGTATGTATCATTACAAAGGTTACAGGTACATCTACATCGCATGTATGTATCATTACAAGGGTTACAGGTACAGCTACATCACCTGTATGTATCATTACAAAGGTTACAGGTACATCTACATCTCCTGTATGTATCATTACAACAGTTACAGGTACATCTACATCACCTGTATGTATCATTACAAAGGTTACAGGTACATCTACATCTCCTGTATGTATCATTACAAGGGTTACAAGTACAGCTACATCACCTGTGTGTATTATTACAAGGTGTATAGGTACATCTACATCACCTGTACGTATTATTACAAGGTTTATAGGTACGCTTAAAGTATCAACTTTCTGTATCATAACAATGTATAAACATACAGACACATCTGTACGTATCATAGAAAATGTATAGACACAGCTACATGTATATTATAACAAGGTTTAAATGTACAGACAATACCTAACGAGGTTTACAGGTACAACTGCATCCCATGCATGTATCATAACACATATTTATAATTTTACCAAAAAATATTTGGAACCCTTTTCACTCAGTTTTGGTCTATATACACCAGCACGCATTCCAATTTGTCATAAAATTGAAGCACTGAAATCAGGTTTAGAATCACAGACCTTAAAGGATACTAGTCAATCATAGGATTCCGACTGGTCCTAAGCACAGTTCAGTAGTCTCTGGCTGATGGACAAGCGTGAAATTCGAGAGAAGTGGTTGTCTGGGACCGCTACGTCATTTTACACCATGTAATTCCTACCCACTATATGTGTCGATATACAGAACGATTAGATATTACGATTCATGACGTGGTAACAAACGAAGGGCTGCTTTCATTTTGACTCCACTGCGCATCAAGTGAGTGTTGACAGCGGGTGACCCTGATACCCTTATGAACAGGCCTACACGCAGGCGCTCCGTGTCTGCGTGTGTACATTGTTTGCCAGACTGATTGCTTCTCTTCTCAGTGAGTGAGTTTAGTTTTACGCCGCTTTTAGCAATATTCCAGCAACATCACGACGGAGAACACCCGAAATAGGCTTCACACATTGTACCCATGTGGTAACCCGTGGTTAGAATTGGTCTTCAGTAATCCATATGTAGTTGCAAAGTATAAAGACGTTGATCTTCCGTAATCTGAATTGTTCTGTCTGTGATCATGGTAGGTCGATAGTGAAATACAATCTCCTGACAAAAGACTCCATATCACTAAGACGGCTCAAGGACTCAAAGGTCTGTCGTCTCACACTGAACCATATTACAAGGAAGTCAATTTACAAATAAGTTCAGGAATGTACTTTTACGGGAGATGCATTTGTTCTTATGACATACCACAAGGAAAGCAGCCATTCGTAGATATATATTTTGATATCTGTCATGCTTGTAATTGTTTATAATTGTTTTGATAAAAACAAGTGCATGTGTATGACTATCGCTAATAACGCTATCTTTAACCCTGTATTGTTTGCTCGGTAACTCGGTACAGTGTAACGACACACGATCTATCGCGGACTACTTCCTTGTAGGACACTATTAACAGTTACATAACAGTTTATCACTTAAGCAAACCACGGAAGTATTGTATAATCAGTGTCCTATGATTTGATGGAATATATCGGTAAGTGGCGGAAATGTCACTTACTTTGTACATAAATTTGGCGTGTGTGTGTGGTGGGGTCGTTCACATTGTTCATGCATCTCCATAAATACCATTATCACTCCCCCCAACCCAACCTAGCCATAACTTATTAACGGCCCCCAGTAGGTTTTTTTGTTGCTATAATATACATTTAATAGAGCCCTTCGGAGAGAACATTTTGCAATACGATGACATCCATAAACTAAGTCAGCAATCTTGACCACCCGATTCCATTAGTCGCCTTTTACCACCAAGCCCAGACCGATCTTCAAGAGGTGTTATTAATACATGTGAATTGTACTTGGAGTTGAGCAAATAGGATGAGAAGAGTGACTTCCCATGATTGTCCGGTGTCCAAGTGAATGGGACATAGTCTATTATATTTTGTCTGTCTCAAGGTCTCTGAACCGCATTATTTTTCATACTGTCTATAGCAATTTCTGGAATGCTAAACTCAGGCTCCAAATGAAGCAAGTCCAGATTTCCTCAGGTTGGGTGAGTGGGTGAGTGGGTGAGTGGGTGAGTGGGTGAGTGAGTGGGTAAGAGGGTGAGTGAGTGAGTTTAGTTTTAAGCCACTTTCAGCAATATTGAAACAATACTGAAGCGGAAGACACCAGAAATGGGCTTCAAACATTGTACACATGTGGGGAATCGAACCAGCCTATCCAACAGCCCCACGTAGAAGATACTTTTATCTATGCAAATGACCATATTTTCTCGAGAAATCGACCATAGTTCTTTGTCTGTTTTATGTAACCTCTTGTTTCATTAATAATATTGCCTATTTGTGACTTTCAGCCTGGGTTTGCCTTATTGAAGTACGATCAGAAAGTAACTCATTTAAGTGTGTCGAAGTTTTGCTGAAAGCCTTTGTATTCGAACGCTAATACATGTATGTCGAAACGGGTTTAGTTGTGAATATGCAAAAAAGGCAAAATAAAACATACTGCCCAACATTTTGATTTAGTTCCAAATATATATAGTTGAATTTGGTCTTCCTGTATTTTCGCACCTATTTCTGTTGTACCCCACCATGATGTTGCTGGAATAGTGCTAAAAGCGGCGTAAAACTACACTCAGTCCCCGTATTTTCACCCCCCAAAAAACCCCCTCAAAATCTCCTCATACATGTGACTATGGACCTAATATGCTTCTATAGCTATATATGTGTATAAGGGGCGGTGGGGTAGCCAAGTAGTTAAAGCGTTCGCTCGTCATGCCGAGGACCCAGGTTCGATTCCTCACATGGGTACAATGAGTGAAGCCCATATCTGGTATCCCCCTCCGTAATATTGCTGGAATATTGCTAAAAGCGGCGTAAAACCCAACTCACTCACTCAGTTTGTGGAGAATAACGGAACTGATGCTTAAGTTATATAGACACTCACTGTCACCAGATTCCTTCCGGGTCCAATTGTTAAAGCGACTTTCATATCCATTGGGTGTGAGCCATACATTCATGTCTACTGTACTCAACGCCCCACATAGAGACAGGCCTGTGTGGGATTCAGAGGTGAGAAACACATACTTAACAATTGTTATATTTGTTCGAATTTTGTACATTTTTAGTTGGGTCCCATCCGGAATTCCAACCCATTCTCTCCTCTCAGTACACAAAGTCAGCGATCTAACCCCCTCAGCCATAAACATGGAAGTCTAGCAACTGGTATTAATAATAATAATAATAATATGGACATGTGTAGAGCGCAGTAGTAACTCCACACCTCAAGGGCATGCTCTTTGCGCAACAGTAAATATGTACACTATATACAGGAAGAAGTGTTATAAGATTTAGTTGTTGTTGAACAAGAATGTTTTGAGTCTTGATATAAAGATGGAGATGGAAGGAGATGACTTGACATGGAGAGGTAGTGAGTTCCAGAGGGAAGCTGCGTGAACGCTGAAAGATCTGCCGCCAAAAGTTTGCAACTTGTATTTTGGGCCACTGAGAAGACCTTTGTCTTGAGATCTGAGAGACCGCGCTGGAGTGTAGGGTGTTATAAGATCTTGCATGTAGGAGGGCGATGAACTGTTTAGTGTTGAATATACAAGAGACAGCGTTTTGAATTTTATTCTTTCGCGGATTGGAAGCCAATGGAATGACTTTAGTATGGGAGATATGTGACATCTGGATTTGGTTCTAGTGACAAGTCTTGCTGCGCTGTTCTGGATCTTCTGAAGTCTGTCTAGTTGTTCAGAAGCGATGCCTGCACAAAGACTATTGCAATAGTCCAGCCTGGATACAATGAGGGATCTTGCCAGAGTGGCAGCAGCATCAGTTGTTAAGAGATGACGGATGGCTCCAATGTTCCTGAGATGGAAGTGGCAGGAACGACACACATGAGTGACGTGTTGCTCCATCTTGAGACCTGAATCTAGATAAACACCAAGATTCTTTACCACAGGGGAAAACACTATGTTTGAATCTCCAATCCTGATGTTTGGAACCTGGCATTTCTGTAGTCGGGAATTCGGAGCAATAAGGATAGCCTCGGTTTATCATCATTTAGCACCAGCTTGTTTGATGTCATCCATGATCTGACATCTGAAAGACATTGTTCCATTTTCAGACATGTCAATGACTGGTTATCCTGGTATTCTGGTATCCCACGTACTTTACCCCTCTGACAAGTATAAATCAGTGAATACACAGATGTTATAATTGGGAGTACACTTTCTCTGTTATAGATTCTTGTATGTTTTGGGGTTGAGTCGCATCCGAGATTCGAACCCCACCCTCCGAGTCTGGCAACTATTTGCAAGTACACGAAGTCAGCGATCGTGAACACGCACTCTAGTGTATATATGTATGAATGTGTGTGTGTATATAAAGGTTTCTAAATGGCATTGCGTATTCAAAATAATATATGTTATACAATGACTCTTGGTCTCATAGTCAGTCATTATATCAGATATCCACATGTGCAGTTCCATTCATATAAAATGATGTAACAAAATATAGGTACGCCATTCATATAAAATGTTGAAGAGTCGACTGGACAAACGAACTCACAACGCTCCCGCCATTATCCAAGGGTGAAGGGCGATAGTTCACAGCCAATCAGATCGTGTTACGTTACCCGGAAGTGTACGTGTTTTTACTTACATGTGTAGCGATGGTTAGTTAATGAACCCCCGGGAGTACACAACAACATTCCATCTCACAAGTCACCAACACGCCATGGAAATTTCACAGCTGGTCCAGATTCTGTGGTTCCTCCCTATTTTATACCTATGTGATTCTACAAGGGTCGACGCTAGTGACGAAATGGACACTGATTTCGATTGGGATGTTGATTTTGACAGCTTCTTGGAATCTATAGATTCAATGGCAGATATGGTGTCGGATTATGTCGGCGATGAAACCGGTTGTCACTACCGCTGTATAAATGGTAAGCGTAGATGTGACTTGTTAGTTGACCATACATGCTTACTGCAACCTGCATGGTTACGACTGAACATCGCCTATCGGTATAAGGGAGGTAACTCTAAGTTCTGGACGACTTTTCATTGATCTTTATTTGGTGCACACACGAAAGAAAATATTAGATTGAAAAATTCGTCTTGGTTGAAAGACAGTAAATGTGTGTAAATTGATTTTGTCGTGTATACTTGGTAATCACATACGAAATAATCTAGTCCATAATTTAATCTAACCACGATCTGTATATATATTAATTAACGGACTAATGCAATTTGTTGGGAAAGATTAAATTAGTTTGTAGATCATTCGTAATAATTTCATTTCATTTATTTTAATATTCTTCATATGTAATCACGTCACATTATTATTATGTTTATTTTTAGCCGCGAAACCAAAGCCAAAGAAGGGTCATAAGCCGAGAAGTAATGGGTGTGGTTCGTTTGGCCTTGAGGTATGCTTTAATAATATATTACATACTAGTCACAAGTCTCCCAAGAGAGGATTAATTCATGATCCCTAGGTTATATAAGTAATAAATATATGTAGTCCCAATAATGGGATACTTTCTATTGCCTAGACAAGTCAGTTTTAATCGTAGATTATTATGTATATAGTTATTATTCAGTACAAGTAACTATTATATATGGCTGAAATAATGCTGATGCGACTATAATCTCAACAATTCAGTACAGATATGAAGCAAGGCTGTAAATAATTGCCCAGAAAATATAATACCTCTCGATTTCCATATTATTTTAGGGAATCGTTTATGGTGTTAATAATGTATATAATGTCAGTCTCAGAAATATCTACCATTGTCTGGTCGAATACCCGTAACTGTCTCTTTTTAACAGTTACTCATTTATTTAGATTATTTGGGGAATATCAATAACAAAAACGTCATTTTTTTTTTTTCCGCCAATCTTTCGCTGAATCCCTCTTTAAAGATAAAGAAAAGCGCATTTTTTCATACTGGTAACTTCGTGAAATTACCCCGATGATACCTGTGAAAAATATTAACTTCATTGAAATAACTTGGTTACTGAAGGAGATCTTGTCGTGCCAAATACTTATGTCCCATGTTTGTACACGAGCGAATACTTCCTGTTTTCGGAATTTGACGTAGTAGGCACTATATGAGGCGCACCTTGCAGTCAATTCCATCCTCAGTCGTAGTATCGTCTCTCACGGTTGGCCTTGGGCTGTAATTATACATTTCATCAGCACACATGTTAATCTTATGCATGATATGTAAACTTGACAACGTAATGTCTGTTCAGCATGTGTGTAAAATAACCTGGGCCTATATTTTCGAAGCTCTCTTAGCGCTAAGATAGTCGTAAGTTAATGTTAATGTATTGCACTTACGACTATGTTAGCGCTAAGAGAGCTTCGAAAATCTAGGCCCAGGCCTTGGCAAATGGGCCACTATTTATATTATGTTGAACTGCTCGTTGCGTATTTTTCATTACAGGAGTCTTTCCTGAACTCTAAGTTAGTAATTCACATCTTGTCTACAATGTTAATATCACACCATTGTATAGTGAATGTGTAGAATGTATCGATGTTATTGTAATGAATTAGTGGAGATTATTATCAGGCTCCTACAAATGTATTATGATCATCATAACATGAATAGGTCTCACCCTTGTGCCCACTGAAAACAATCACACATAGTTATATATTATATGTATATGTAATAATCTTTTTGTTATTTTTGTTTTGCATCAACGTGTATATCAAGAGTGCTTTGAAACCATGTCCCTATTTATTAGTATTAATTTAATATGGTGTCCAACATGCCATGCCTTGATTCTTTGCCCTAGGTGTAAGGTTATAACAGCTGTTTTCGAGATACCACCTGAAGATACCGTTTCAACGGGTTTCAGTCAGTTTAGCGTGCTTACGACGGTTTAGAGGCAAGAGCGTTGTAGTTTAGCCTATAACACACTGGTACACAAGAGCGTTTACCTGTTCAGTTGTATGTAGTGATGATTATCAACTTCAACCTGTACGGTCCCTTTAGACTCGAGGATTATTTCCTATAGTACAATACAACTTGGGAGTGATTGCTGTAGATCTGCCGTTGTTGATCAAGTAGTTGATATTTTATCACATTTGGTCCTGGATACTATTTCACGGGAACAAAATAAGGGTTTAAAGGGGATTATCATATCCCAGTGATTTCTTTTACTGAAACAATAGGAGTTGGGTAAGTGGGAAGACCCCAATCTGCCTATGTTACTCCGGGGGAGAACTCTTACATCTACATTCGCGTGATGTGACTCGGATTAAGGAAATTTCACTGCATATTTTGATGGATAGAAAGAAGAGAGATGTGATAATTGTTTGATCGGCATTCTCAAAAAAGATACGGGTTTTATTTGAAATAAAAATATACCCCTTCCCCCAAATTGGGAGTATGTCCGACTATGTAGCGAAGAAAGATACTAAAAACGTGCAACATATTTAATTGATGCACAACACGTGCAGTAAACATTAATCTGCAGTGTGTCTTATGTGTCCGTTCCGTAAGTACTATTAAGAAATGACTGCAACATTTTTCGTTAGTGGATGTATATACGGCAAATACGTCAACCGTAACATCGTCACAGAATGTTTACGTAATCGATCTTCAGAAACCCATGCTTGTCGTAAGAGTCGACTAACGGGATCGGGTTGTCAGGCTCGCTGACTTGGTTGACACATGTCATCGTATCCTAACTGCATGGATCTTTATACTGTTGATCACTGGATTGTCAGTTCCAGACTCGATTATTTCCAGACCGCCGCCATATAGCTGTAATATTGCTGAGTGCTGCGTTAAACAAACTAACGTAATCATGAACACAATAAAAACTACAATAAGGCATGGCACGCCACATACTTTTAACAGTAGTCCGATAGCGTTCGTGGCTATTTTCGGGTTATAACCGAACGACTCGGAACTTGGACCAATTACGGTAGTCGGTAATCTACAGTCCATTATTGTTTCTTCGATCAGCTGGGAACTGTTTGCTATTATCCTGCTCTGTACAGCGTGAACATTTACGATCATATCAAGCGAATAATGGCTCTTGAAGCTAAGACCTAGAGATCAAACGTAAGTACGACATTATAGACCGTTGGTTAGCACGCGCAGTCAAGGTGTATTTTAGCTTGTTCTCGACTGCATGAGGGCTTCTGGTCTGGTATTGTTTTTGGATAGGGAATCTGTTGGAGGTCATCACGGAAACCGCTCCTAATACAACTTGTTAATGCTGTTCTTAATATGGATATCACGCCATGTTACTACCACTGGAACAGGCCTACGCTCGTCTGAAGCGTCGAATATCGCTTGACAGAGTTACGCCCCTTAGGCGTAACCGAAACCTCTTGTCTTTGGTTCGGTTGTTTCTAGCTTTGTCAGCATCATTGATATCATTCCTGCTAGTTTGACCTTAATGGTAAAAGTGTAAGACCTGTTTACTTCGTCCCTTCCACAAACGTCAAATTATTACCTGTCCTAGAGCTGGTTTTGTGTTCAAAGCGACGTTAAACCATTCTCTTACTCACTCACACTAATTTTACACGTGTTGGTTCCCCAGCTTGACACAAGTGCATTGCCGGCGGTGACGAAGTGTTGCGACAACCACGACTACTGCTACGACACGTGTAACAACGACAAGGTGAAGTGCGACGACAAATTCAAGGACTGTCTCAACAACGTCTGTGATAAGTTAGGAGGAATAGCGAGCGAAGATCTCACCGGCGGTACGTTCATCAACGAGTATTGGATGGCAACGTGTATTGTGCAGCAAAGTGTATTGTGTGACAAAATGTATGTTATTCTAAATTGGACATTTCACGGACATGTATATTCATTTGTGGGCTAGAGCATATGTCCTTAACAATTTACACTTTGTCACAAGAGCTGACACTGGATAGGATGAACATACTCTGTGTCTTGATAACTTACCTGGCATCGTGCCCCATAGCGTGGGACGATGCTCCTAATATCAATCACTGGTTTGCCTGCTTTAGTCTGAAGGTTTTACAGGCCGAGGTCGTCTTAATTTGCTCACCGAAGTCGAATAGTATACAGCCACATAGAGCTGGCGTGGGTGTTTGGGTTATTACAATGTTGAAGTGAATCATTTTGGGATCCATTAATATAGTGTATGTCCATCCACTGTTCTCGAAAAGGGACTGACTGACTGAGTTTGGTTTTACGCCGCTTATAGCAATATTCCAGTAATATCACGGCGGGGGACACCAGAAATGGGCTTCACTCATTGTACCCATGTGGGGGATTCGAACCCGGGTCTTCGGCGTGACGAGCCAACGCTTTAACCACTAGGCTACCCCACCGCCCCTCTCGAAAGGGGAGGGTCTCAGGGTACTGTATACTTTGCCAGCCACACGCATAGCAAGCCAAGTTTTTCGTGGAAGCCCGATAGGTTGGAAAGCTTTACATTCAGATAGCATTGAGGGCTTGCCCAACCTTTTTAGCAACAATTATGGGTAAGCCAGGGCTTTTCTTTATGATGGTAGCTACGCCCCTTCCAGCGTTAGGCAATACAGAATAATACAGCTGGTGTCGGCTCCGCAGTGTTCTGTGAGTAGCGCACGTTAGTATTAAACAGCAGCCTGGTATCTCATTGGGCTAGCACAGCCTAGCAGTATGAAAACGGCATGATATCGGACCAGTACAACCAGCCATACGAACACATGCGTTCTATTTAAGTGTATTAATTTTGATCGTCAATCTAAACTCTATTTCATCTCACCTGTTTTTTATGATCATGTTGCAGGTTGTCGGTCCACGGCGGATCTCATGTACGCCAGCACGTTGACGTTAGGATGCAAGCCTTACAAAGACTCACAGAAAGACGCATGTGCTTGTGAACACGATGAGTTGTAAAGACAACAGCACAAAGTGGTGTTAGAAGCACGTTTTAGGGAAATAGTATGGTGATGGACGTGTGGTTTTGTATTTGTGTGTATGTGTGTGTGATTTAGACGTTTGAACGGAAGAGGATAATTGGAAGACGTACTGAACAAGTGGTTGCCTACACAGTGAACATGTCATTATAGTGGCCATGGTGTTGTTTGGTGCCTTGGCTGGATGACAGGCCAGGTGGGATGAAACAATCTACAATGGCAATCCCAACAGAACCTATTCTTTTCTCCGATATGATACCTCACAGTCGGAGATCTGCAGACATCTCTTTGGAAGGTTGGGTCAAATGAATATTGTGTTAGCCTTGATCGCCCAATTTAAATTGTGGTTTTTCACCCCATGGAATGTCAGATCCCCCCATAGGATAATTCGCGCTACCCTACCTCTATAAAGTTATAAAATAAAGTAGCTGTTAACGAAGCTAACAGTAGTTATCAATGACATGAGTGGGTGCTTATGGTTTTGCACTGCTTGTACCAATATTGTAGCAATATCACGGCGGGGAACACAGAATAAGGCTTCACTCATTGTTCTCATGTTGGGAGTCGGACCCGAACTGTCTAATGGACCGTGGAGAGGATCTGCTGAATGTATTTGATATTAATGGAATTATGAAACATTTTGTAGCCTTTTATGGGGATAAATATTTTTATGTTTTTTAAAACAGAAATATCAAAGGAAATGGCTGTCGTATATTTTTATTGATTAATTTTTGTATTAAATTTGTTTATTTACAGAATGTCGTGATGCTGTTTTATTTTTTTAATAAAAGAAAGCAAGTGGTTGGCAGCTTGCGTTGAAAACACGTCCCGGTTAAGGGAAAAAGACATCTGTATATTAAAGGGAAGTAACTCTTGAATACTTGGCTCAAGTCGATTTGGGCTACGATTTCTACTAGCCAATATATCACATACGTACGTCAAAATACAGAATTGTACGCGGTACCCTAAACGCAGGACGACTCCATATCCCCCAAGCCAAAACCGAAACCGTATGTAGTTGTTACCATTCGCCTGATAGAGAGTGGTCTTGTGCACACCAAATATTCGTTGCTGTCACAGTGTATACTTGATTCTTATAACGCAATCAATGTATTTGATACAACATTATGACAGTTCCGATCAAGCAAACGGCACAAACGGACTTTGAGTACGTTTCTGGATGCTGATTTTGACTTCGGTATATTTCAGTACATTTCTGGGGTTCATTGTATCTGTATATTTTAACAGTATTCCAGTACATGTATATCACAGCTGACTGGCTTACTGTGGGGCGGAACGCTCGAAATGATGCAGCTCTTCGACCATTAATACTTTGGTGAAACAATAAGCACATGTTGCATACTGGGGTTCGAATGCAGTCACATTCCAGGTGTGCTCAAGAGACGCAACTCTTTCAAACGAGCTGCGGCACTCTTCACGAATGGATGCAGTAAGGGCTTAGAGGACATATCTGAGTTTATCGGTTGGGTTTCATGACTAAGGGACTATTCTTTTACGTACGCACGCACAGAAAGGTTCATGATATACTGTCGTCCAAGTAGCAGTACAGCAATTCGCAGATCAGAGTTACGTCCCTTAGCACGTTCGAGAATCCCTTGATATGAAGGTCGCGGGTTCGATCCCCGACCGCGTCATACCAAAAGACGTTAAAATATGGTACTTGTTGGTCCCTGTCTGGCGCTCGGCATTAATGGGTACAACAAGGACTGGTCGGCTCGGAGCCAGTATAATGTGTCTGACTAGGGTATTCATGCTTAACTACGGCATAGTATCTCAGTGAGCTAGCACCAGCTTAAAAGTCTGGGCTAGTACAAGCAGCCACACATACACACGCATGCATGTCGTCATATGAGCGAAATATTCTTAAGTACGACGTTAAACCCCAGTTCACCTCACCTTGATATGGTTTCGAATCCCTGATTCGCTCTTGTAATGTGTCTGTGTTTTGCAGCAGCAAACAAATGGTTGGGAAACGTCTGCGACCTGCATCAGGTAGGGATTTGTCCCACATCAAACTGACACTATGTGATGCGGAAATCAGTGACTCTCACTGGATCTTCATACGTGTTCAGGACCACCTACCACATGACTTCATAACATGTCCTATACCGCCTTACCTTCTGAAGCGGCCTACAAATATACATGGACCTTTTCCCAATGAATCCGCCAACAATAGCAGGTGACTGCTGACAATGAACGAATTCCGATTAGACGTAATTCGTTATTTGATCTGAAGAGATGGGTAACTATCATGCCGTTACGAATCTTCATGATCTTTTGAGATACTTCCATCTCATGGGCACGCCAGTAATTTTATAACCTATGATATACCCTAAATCCCGGTTCGTGCCAGGTTTGTCATACCCGTACTTCCATTCGTGACCAACTCGGGTTATTCCGGGACAAGCCGAATAGCGACTCGTGTCTTCTTACGGCGAAAGGGGCGAGTGGTGACGAATGGCATCGAGAGTCACCACTCGCCCCTTTCTGTAACCTCTAAGAAGTATATACATTGTATATTCTGCACAAGATAAAAGGTGTTTTTCTGTGTGGTGTTTTTATCTTATGCACTCGATTTGACGTGCCGTATGCTACCTAAACTACAGACACGAAAACCAAATTAGGAATAGGCTGATGGCAGGATTATAGTCTGGTAGGATGGGTACAGCATTCAAGTCCCGTGGAAGTTTTGTGATGAAAGAAAGACATTGTGTTTTTTGTATTCATCAGACATGCTAGTTAAATAAAAAGTTTGGTTCCAAGTTGAAATATGGTGCAAATAGTTCTTTTGAGCACTGTACAAAGTGGTTGTGGAAACGGTTGCTTAAAGGTCAGAAGGTCATAATGGGAGAGTTGAATATTTAAAGTTTCAGGTTATTAACTTTATCCAAGTGTGTTTCTCTATTTCATGAAATATTTTATTAAAAGAAAACCCCCAAATATAGTTTTTTAAATTAAAAAAATATATATAATGAACACTCCCTGTCTCAAAATGGCAGCTAGCAGACGAATTTAAGCAGATGTAGGTTTTGTGCATTTTGTAAGTATATGATTGCTTCATTTCATCAACTCAATGTAAATCAAGTTATTAAAGAACAGTTATGTATGAAACAAAAAAGAGATGTTTATTTTTGTTTGGTGAGACTGTCAGTAAGGGAGCAGTCCTTATTTCAAAATGTAATATGTCAATATCAGATTATGATTTATCAATTTCTTATTATTACGCTTGAAGTTTTTCTTCTAAAAGCAGAGTTCTTTGAAAATAGATAAGAATATAATGAAATGATGGGGAGAAAACACTATTTTCTGCTTCACAGTCTGTCAATTAAATCCCTTGAAATATTTTTCAAGTCATCAGATCGAATAACTTTCTAAAATGGTTATGATCTTTGAAAAAAAAGATATACAAATAAATGTGGGGAGAAACTTTTTTAGCAGCAGGATAGGAGAAGACACGGTGTCCATATTTAACTTGTTTGACTTTGGGGATAACAAGAAGGTGTTGATTCCCTAATCTGAGAGATCTAGATGGTGCATAAGCCTGAAAAAGATCTGAGAGTTAGACTGGAGCCGTGTTAGTCATGCACTGGTATGCGAAACATAATAGTTTGAAGGATATTCTTTGTTTCACGGGCAGCCAATGAAGGTCCTTTAGAGTTGATGTGATGTGCTTTTTTCTGGTGATCTGGGGGGTAATGCGAGCAGCTAAATTCTGTATGCATTGGAGTTGGTCAGTGACACTAGATGGAGATCCGACCAAAAGGCTGTTACAGTAGTCCATACGAGATGTGACTAGGCTGAGGCAGAGAGTTTTTGAGGCATCTTTGGTAAGAACGGTCTGGCCTTACTGATATTGTGGAGATGGGAGTAGCAAGTTTTAGTAACATACTTGACGTGTACTGTCATACTTATATCTTGATCGATGACAACACCCAGATCCTTGACAGTGGAAGAAAGAGGACTGATTGCTCCACACACACTAGTAATGTCACACTGCTTGCGTTTTCCAGCCTGTCCCAGAAGAATGGACTCTTTTCTCTTAATTTAATTTCAAGGCATTTGATGACATCCATGAATATCTTCTGGCAACAGTCTATAGCTGACTCTGTGTTTGGTTGAAATAACTTCCACAGCTGCGTGCCATCTGCGTAGAAGTGGTCAAGATTAAGGTTTGCTACAACAGAGCCAAGTGGAACAGTGTAGAGGGTGAAGAGGATCGGACCAAGTCCTTGAGGGACTCCGCACTCAAGCCTAGATGCATTGACACAGACTCACCAACAACAACGGTTTGAGTCTTTTGAGGAGTGTCTGGTGATCAATCGTGTCAAAGGCACTGCTTAGGCCAAGTAATGTGAGCAGGGCCACTTGTCCTGTGTCAATACCACATCATAGGTCATTCGGGATCTTCAGCAGAGCCGTCTCTGTGCTGTGGTGTGCTCTGCAGGCTGATAGGAACACCTCATGGAGGTTATACCAGGAAAGGTCGCCCATGAGACCACTGGAGACTGCACGTTCAATGAGTTTGGATATAAATTCTAAGTTTGAAACAGGCCTGTAGGTTTTTGGATCCTCCTAATCAAGGCTTGATTTCTTCAGATGTGGCCTAGCTAGAGCTGACTTGAGTACACTTGGGACATATCCAGATGAAGTAGAAGAGTTAAAAACCATAACTAATGTTCGTAAATGTCAGTGAAACTATCAATATGAGTAAGAGGCGTGCCATCAAACATTTTTGGAGGAATATCAGCTTCATCCACAGCCGCAGAAGACGAAGTCTTGTCATGAATGTTCTTGGATCTTTTTGTAGAAATAATCCGAAAATGTCTGTGCTATAACTTCATTGTCATCAGATGTCGGAAGTGTCGATTCAAAGTGTTTACTCAAGATACTGAACAAACAAAAGTTTGAACACCAACTTTGGACTTGACTCGTTGGCTTCAATCTTAGAATTGAGATGTTGATTTGTCTGATGACCGTTGTTGAGTGATTTTTGGCTGAAATATACATTTGGCGATGAATCTCCAGGAAATATTGTTTTCCATCTGCGTTCTGCTTTCCTCTTGTCTTTTTTCGCTTGTCGAACTTCAGGTGTGAAGTCCCAAGCAGATGTTTTAGTGACTGGTATGACTCTGTCCTTAACGGGTTCATGTTTGTCTATATAGCAGCTCAGATAGAACTCTATTGTATAGCAGAACGAGACACTCAGCATCAGATGGTTGCTCAAGTATAAGGTCTGAGTTTAGCAAATTGTCTTTAAAAGTATCCATATCCAGGAAGCGCATGTTCCTACAGCGAGTAATCTTCACATTTGGACTGGGTATTGAGAGGTCCAAGCTCACAAAGATATGGA